AAATTTTCACAAAAGGAGATGCTTCTTTCGGAAGGAACATGATTCTTAATTCAGAAGAAAATTTTTCACATTACTATGATGCGTGAGAATATTGCGCGATAGCAGTGAAGACAGTGGCATAGTAGCGCGGCGGAGTGCTCACGCACACTACTAGGCGTGCGACTCATGGACAAGCGCCCGTTCAAAAACCAGCGCCTATTGGATTAACATTACTTGGTAATATCTGCTTCAAGCATCGTAGAAAAAAACGGCTCAGGACTTTTCGACTCAGTTTTTTGATCAGGAATAGCGCTATATAATTAGTGGGCATTATTTCAATTACTCTCTGTACATATTTCAAATGATATTGTAAACATTTTATGACTTTCCAAAATTAACTCTAATAACAAATTAAAGAAAAAAATTTTTGTAATAATATATTTTTTAAATTTTACAATAGGAAATAAATAATTTCCCTGTAAAGTATTTCGTGTTTGATTTTATTAATATATATATATATATTGTATATATATATATGTATATATTGCTATATTGCTTTTATATATATATTTCTAGTGATATTGTAAATATAACTTGCTCTGCAGTAGGGTAAATTGTTATTGAGGTGGGGTAAGTTGTTACATTTACAATATCACTTGAAATATATATACAATGTGTTCTAAAATAATCGCCAAATATTTCATGAACAGGTAAAGTGGACTAAACTGAATTGTTTTCTCTCATAAAGCTTTAAAAATTTTTCAGGATTTTTTTATTAGAATTTTTATTCAGAATTTTTAGTACTGCATTTTCTTATTTTTATCTACATGAGAAAATACGTTATTAAAAAATTTTGAAAAAGATTTGAAAAAATTCTTAGAGTTTTATGAGGAAAAAAATTTTTGCCTCTTGCAGTTTTTCTGTAAAGTTAATAGTAATTGAATAAAAAATTAATGAAGACCAATTTTCAGCAATTTTTAGTAATTAATATCTCATTAACTATTGCGGAAATTGCAAAATGATAAAGGACTTTTCGATTTAGTTTAGTCCGCTCTACTTGCTCATGAAATATTTGGCGATTGTTTTGGGACTTGTATATATACAAGGTATCTGATAATTCTTCTGATGGAGTTTGTGGACATGTAGAGCGGACTAAACTGAGACGGAAAGTCATCTATCATTTTATAATTTTCGCAATAATTAACGAGATATTAGTTTCTAAAGATTATCGAATACGTGCACCTACCGGGCGTATTACTATGCCAAACGTACGCCCATTGCTAGCTTGACACGTGGGCTGCGGGCCGCAGGGAGCGAGGCATGGGGCAAGCGCGCTTAGTTCGAAGTCTCAATTAATGGCAAATTAACAATACAAGAAGAGTTCCTTGGATTTGTTAAACTTGAAAAATTTATTGCTTAGTCTATTTCTGATGCTGGAAGTACAAATTAGTTCAGTCTGTTTTCCAAAAAATGGCTCCAGCTGTTGTTCATAATGACAGCTGATTTTGGCGTTTTCAAAGAGGTTAGACATCTGTTAATAATATTCAGTTTATATCGCTTTGAGTTTCATACAAAAACCTTGATTTTTACTGTGTTTGAAATGTCGAATTTTGTATTAACCAAGCAGCATTTGTGGGAGGTTCTAATTTTCTGCTTTAATTGGAAGAAAAGTGCAGCTGAAGCCCATCGAATGCTTGTCGAAGTTTATGGTGACACTCCAACTGATAAATTATGTAGGGAATGGTTTCGATGTTTCAAGGATGGAGATTTCATCGTTGAAGACAAGCCTCGCTCTGGACAACCAAAAAAATTCGAAGACAAAGAATTAGAGGCATTACTCGAAGAAGATCAGAGTCAAACGCAAGAGGAGCTTGCAGAATCATTGGAAGTAACTCAACAAGCCGTTTCTGCACGATTGAAAGCCATGGGAATAATTCAAAAACAAGGAAATTAGATGCCTTATGAACTGAAACCGAGAGACGTTGAAAGGCGATTTTTCACTTGCGAACAGCTGATTCAAAGACAACAAAGAAAAGGTTTTTTGCATCGGATTGTGACTGGAAATGAGAAGTGGATATTCTACGACAACCCCAAGAAGAAAAAATACTACGCTAAGCCTGGTCAATCGTTGCATGAGGTCATCGACCTCAACATCAACACCAAAGCCGAACATTCATGGTCCGAAGATCATGCTCTGTATCTGGTGGGACCAAAAAAGGGTGTTGTTTACTATGAGCTGCTGAAATCTGGCGATTCCATTACGGACGATCGGTATCGGCTACAATTGATTCGGTTGTGCATTGCGAGAAAAATGGCCGGAATATGAGCAAAGACAAAGTTATTTTTCTTCAGGACAACGCTCGGCCTCATGTTGCAAAAGTCATAAAAAAATATTTGGAAACGCTCAAATGGGATGTTTTACCGCACCCGCCATATTCTCCGGATATTGCTTCTTCTGATTACTGATTGTTCCGAAGGATGCAGCACGATTTGGCAAGTCACCGGTTCACTTTTTTCACAGAAATCGAAAATTGGCTCCAAAATTGGATCGCCTCCAAAGAGTCATTTTTTCGAGATGGAATTCGAAAATTGCCTGAGAGATTGGGAAAAAGTAGTAGCCAGATGGACAATATTTCAATTAATCTGTTCATTCATTTTGTTTTGAAATAAATGCATTTTTGAACACAAAAAAACGGACCGATCTAATTTGTACTTCCAATATTTTGTCGAAGTGCGAAAGCTCAAATTTGAATATGGCATATTGTGTAGGTCAGGATTATGATAAATGCTCTGCAATGTCGGGAAAAGAGAATGTCGTGAAAAGTATAATACAATAAGTAGGATAAAAGTAGGGTAAAAGTAGTTCTAACCCACTATGTGTTAGTGCGTATATGTATACGACGTGTATGTGTATGTGAAAGAGAGAGGTCAAGTCAGAAAGAGGAAAATGCCTTACAGAGGTTGGGAAAGGAGAAGCGCGTTACCGGGATCCATGGTAGAGCGAAGGATATTTTTTCTCTCTCTCACCAGTTGCGTTCTCTTATGTCCTACACAACTGCGGTTGTGCATTTACCATAGTATTCGCGCTCTCTCTTCCACCCGTTGCGCTCTCTTACACATTCTCTTTTTTTCTTTCACGCACGATTTTATTAAATAGATTTATTTTTATAATTTTTTTAATAATATAACTCAGCAATAATTTTAATTTAACAACTGTTATGTATACCGACACAGACAGCCTTATTTATCACATCGAGTGACATCATGCGACGATGTCTACACTGTTATGAAACGCGTTATCAATAGATTCAATATGAGCAATTACGCGATCGATAATACGATATTCCGGTAGTAAATAAAAAAGTTCTCGGTTTAATGAAAGACGAAAGCAATGGCGCGATCATGACCAAATTCGTTGGACTTACAAGGGAACACAACCAGTTGTATGTCACCGATTTAAATGAGCTTTTAGTATTTTGTTCTACAGACAAACATAAGAGACACATTTTTTTATACGTGCTGAATCGCATGTTAAGAGGCTGAAATCCTGCCTTAAAGAAAATTGGTTTTTTCTTTCCAAGCGAATATCTTCGAAACTATAATAGATAGAAAAAAATTTCTGAACTAAAAATTGAATGGTTGCAAGAGTACTTTATAACTATAATAAAACAAATTTTTTTAAATCATTTATTTATTGTATACCTCCACCCTCCATTCTTATTTTCAAAAATTTTTTAATTTTTTATATGACCAAAATTAAAGAGCATTTTACGATGAAAACAACGGTTTGTATTTATAATAAATCATGTTTCGAAAAACCATTTTTGAGATATGAACAAAAACGTCTCTATATACGCGCTCCGTACCTATTCTCATACCGCGTTGGTTGCGCAAGATAGCGATAAAGGTAACACAGTTTATTACAGTGCAACAGTGACTATTGAAATAAGTTTTGTAAATAATGATAATAATAATAACAATACCAACAGCAACAGTGACTTTGTCAACCTGCTAAAATCAGTCAAATACTTTTGATGATACGTTTATAAAAGAATATACAAAATTTTGAATAATTAAGAACAAAGCATTAATAAAGAAATTAATACTTTAATATAATTTTATTCATTTCATTTTTGTAGAGCAGCTAATTCCATTTAATGTTGACATCAATAATGTATTGATAAGGCGTCATCTTGATAATGCTTTCACACACGGAAAAAATTGCTATAGTTACCATAACCAAAAATAATGGTAAGGATATGTTCATCTTACAGTTATCACAACTAAATGTATTGATGAGCGAAAATTATCATTTCCGATTGTAGCGTTTTTTCCGTGCAGATATTTTTAAAGAGGGTTGTCTGGTTATCACTGTGTTTTTATCCATTGCTAATGCCGAAGTTTTTTGAACCTTTCATTTTATCAGAGTGAGGTCACTGATACTGATATGATATGTCTTATTAATGCGATGTTATGCATAAAAAATCGATTTACTCCTATGTGCAATAAATCAGCATATGCAGCATTGATTGTGCATAGTCAGTTGATTTTGCTATGGAAATAACGTGCAAGTGCGATGCTTTATATAAATTGAAAATCATATAAATTAAAATATGCAACTGTGAAACTTGTGAATATAAATTTGAAGTAATCCGTAAATGCGGTACTTTTATGAACTCATAACAAAAGAAAGATACTTATTTCATTATCAATAATTTATATTGCATTTATCAATAATATAGTTTTTGATACACTTTCTTTTCTACTTATTAATTTATAAAAAACATTATAATAATAGTGTAAACTTGCGTATCCTACTTTTTTTACAATCAGTGTCAGAGACGTCTAGCTAATAATGAAAAAAAACAATTTGCCGCAGAATGTCAATAATAATTCACAAGTACATTCTGGAACTCAATTTCGAACTCATAGTCGAGGTCCAATGAAATTTTTCCGAATATTAGAAGTTTTTAGTCGAGGAAATTCTTCTGAAATATTACCAAAATCTTGACGATGGAATTTGCAAGGATTGAGATAGATAGACGAAAATTTGTAAATACCATTATTTGTGCATGTGAGAAAAACATTAAAAAATATGGTACGTTAATTGTGTTACATAAATTTATTTTTACATTTACAGAGTATGAATTGAGAAGTAATGGCATTATACCTTTATAGAAATCAAATATTGATTAATATTGAAAGACAGTAATTAATTACTTAATAATAAATATTAAAAGCACTGTTGTTCAGTACTTTTACAATTAGTACTTCAAATAAGTAATTAATTATATATTACTGTACTTCAGTAATAAATTTGCTAGTATACATATATAATTTGTTTTACTTTCTTTATTTGTAATTCTACGATACAATAATTTTAAAGTTATTGTTTTTCGATATTTTTATTAATATAATATATTTGATATGTTTATTAATATGGTATTTGTATTGATATACAATATCAATAATCAATATTTATTTTTATTTTGTATTTACTACAATTAAAACATGAAAAGCACACCATGTGTCTTTTTCTAGACATTGCTTAAAATTATCTTTTTACAATACATATAAATCATTAACATCTGTTGTGGTTCATACAGATTACAAATATGATGATCATGAAAAAATGGTTATACAGAGAGACTTTTTGCACATGCGCAAGTAATTATAGCTATTTCATCATAAATATCGCATGTTGCTTTCGAATGTTTTTTAAAACAAAAATCGACTGTCAAATTCTCCTGGCCTATGTTGCAAATATCCACTCATCATTTTATATAATACCAAGCATATTTTATATAATACCAAACAAATTAGTAAATCTTGGCGATGAAAACTGAATGTGCATACAATTTGATGCGCGAGCTTAAATCTTCTAACCCATTCGTGTGATGTTTTAAAACCTAATAAGTTTACTTGTTGTTGCGCTTGCAAAGCCCATCGTGTAATATCAATATCATGGATCATTGCCCCTTTACGAATAGCTTCAATAAATTTATTAACGTGTATACTGAAATTCGTTTCAACTTTTCAAGTCTACTATCATCTACGTTCATTTGCTTTTCCCATCGTCGTAATTAGTCTGCTGACATTACTTTCAAAATCTTGATTTTACAAATTCAATTGTTCTCGGCTTTAACTTACCACTTCTTCAATATTCAACTGCTCCTTTTTTATATTCTGCTAAAATATCGTCGATGTCACAAATTGCATAATTTTCTTTTTCATCTATGAGTTCTATTTCTTGTGCTTCTGGTACATATATTCTGGTCATATGAGTTTAAAAAATCCAACGATTCTTCTTGTTCAATTTCATAGTACTCTTCGTACATTTCTTTTATCATCTTTTCCATTTTTCTCTGCATCGTAACTTCTTCTGTTGTTATAAGACTTTCTGGAAAGTCCACGGCAGTAAATATTGCAGACAGCAGTATTATAATATTTCATGGATTAAACCGCATTATTTTCTAAAAATTATAAATGTTATTTATAAGGCATATAATTTTGCTTATACCGTTTTTTCCGAAATTCGATTTATTGTAAAAAACTGGTTATACATTTATGATTCAAAGTATTGTCCATCGCTGGCCATTACTTTCTCCCATCTTTCGGGCAGCATACGAATCCCG